TCTTATGTAGAAAAAGCAAAATTTTGGGTAGATTCTTGGCAATTATGCTAAAACAACTCTAAAAACACTACTGATCAAAAAAAAATTGGGTGCCAGTTCTTTCATTCACTCCTTGGGCCTCCAATTCGGAGAGACAATTTAGCTTTGATAGTGACCATTGTGTGTCATGGTTAACACTGAATGATCTTAATAACAACTTAACGACAAGTAAACAAAAGAAACCAATTTGGGACATTAAACCAATTCCATGGCTACTCATCGTATCAAGAAAAAATATATTTAATAATTGGGATATCAATGCTTTTGATAATGTAGATTCTATTTGGAACTCATGGAAAAACAAAGTGATTGAGGCAGCCACAGAAGGGATTGCCGTTAACCATTAACAGCAAACATAAACCATGATTTGATAAGGAAATTGACGATGCCATAAAAGAAAGAAAAAGATGCTTCACGCGAACACCGCAAGTAGATTAAAGATAATAAGACAAATGCAAGTAATAAGCCTAACGATAATAATCTTAAAAATTGTAGCTATGATAATACTTGATCATAATAACTTCAATATTAATAACAATAATTCTAGTGATTTGGATAATAACAATAGTGAAAATAACAAAAATAAGAAATGAAAATTACTTCGGAACGATTTTGTGGGAAAATTATAAAACAAAACAAAAGAATGTTAAACTGCTTGTATCTGAAAAGATAACACAAAAACCTGTTAAAAAATTAATTAAATTAAAAAACCAAGGGTGTAAATCTTGTAAAGAGTTTTGGAAAGTATTAAAAGATTTTTAAAAAAAGTAATAACTGAGATATACATTGTATCAGAAAGCCTGGGTCCAATGAAGTTATTGCTGATAAAGACTTTGAATTGATAAACAATGGCGGTGATATACTTATAAGAACTTTGTAAAATTCGTTTAAACCGGTTTTAAAGCTAGAATAGATTCCAAGCGACTGGAATATCTTCTTCCCTAAACACAACGTTTAGGGCATTTATTCAAAAACATAGGCCAACGGCCCGGAGTATAAAAACAAATATTAACAAAATCAGATGCAATATTAGTTAACATAGTTATTTCTTTTGTTAAAATCAAGATAAATATATTTTGAGATTTTCTCAATTAAAGTAAATTTGTCAGTTGACATTAAATTTATAATCTTATTTTCTGTTGAATAATTGTAAAAGTAGGCTGGTAATATCTTTTCTCTTAACTTACTATAAAAATGACAGATCAACAAGAAGTGAAACTCATCTTCTACTTCATTACGGTAACATAATCTATCTTTTCCCTAATAGAATCCCATACCATCTACCTGTTTTAATTTCAATATCGAGGATTCCTAAACGAAATTTGGTTAATAGTTGTCTTTGTTTAAAATTTTTAATTTGAAGTAAATAATTTTCTATATGAATTCTTTGTTTAAACTTTATAAAGTAACGTAAAATTGAATAGGATCTACTGTCTTCAATGAACTTCTGTTGTTGTATGTCATGTAAACGTAATTTTATATCATTAATAAATTGAACTTTATTACTAATATCTTGCTGTAACCAAACATAACCAAAACCACTTGAGAATAATAAATCTTTAACGTGAATTGCCCAATATTCGTCGTCCCTTCCCACCCTTCTTAATTGAAATAAATAGCATTGGTTTGTAATTCTGTCTCTGTCTAGATGTAATAGTTTAAAGCAGTATTTTATAATATTCAATAAAACGGAAATTTTTAATGGAAATCGATTACCAAGTTCACTCTGAACTGCGACACTTGGGGCATTTTCCCTACCCCCAACACATATCTACAAAATTTATTGAGAATTGTGTCTAACATATTAATGTTTTGGAAAACCCAAATTTCACATCCAAATAAAATAATAGGCATGATAGTTGCATCATAAATGATATTCCAAACATTAATGGAAAGTTTTGTAAATCGTTAATATATCAAAGTATTTAAAGATAATAACGCTTTATTTGCTTGTAAACAATTAGCTTCTACTGCTTTCACCCATTGTCAATTTGAGCTAAAAAAGAAGAAGATTTTATATGGCGCTTGTTGATTTAAAACAAGCTTTTGATTCTGTTAATCTTAATTTTTTAATTTATAAACTTAAAAGAGTTGGATTAAATGGTAAAATCCTCAACACTGTTATTTCACTGTACTCTAAATTATGTGCCCAATTTAAAATCAATAATAAAATTAGTAACATATTTAGTTGTACTTTTGTTATCCAACAAAGATCACCATTATCTGCTTTTCTTTTTAGTTTATACATTAACGATCTCTCAGAGTCCTTAAATCAAAATAATCCAAGAAATAAAATTCAAATCGGTGATAGATATATTAATCATTTACTTTATGCTGATGACTTTGTTTTGATTATTGACTATGTATTTAACCGGCAATGCCTTTTAAATAAATTAGCCTTGTACTGTGACACTTGGGGATTAGTGGTTAATACTTAGAAAATGAAAATTGTTGTTTTCAAAAGAGGGGGTAAACTAAAGAGAATTGAGAGATGGGTATATAAAGAAAAAGAAATAGAAGTCGTTAATTCAATTAAATATCTAGGTGTTACATTTAGCTCAAATTGACAATGGGTGAAAGCAGTAGAAGCTAATTGTTTACAAGCAAATAAAGCGTTATTATCTTTAAATACTTTGATATATTAACGATTTACAAAACTTTCCATTAATGTTTGGAATATCATTAGAATTAGATATTAGTGTTTTGTGTTATCTTTTGAGATACACTCAGTTTAACATTCTTTTGCTTTGTTTTATAATCTTCCCACAAAATCGTACCGAAGTCATTTTCATTTATTATTTTTGTTATTTTCACTATTGTTATTATGCAAATCACTATAATTATTGTTATTAATATTGAAGTTATTATGATCAAGTATTATCATAGCTACAATTTTTAAGATTATTATCGTTAGGCTTATTACTTGCATTTGTCTTATTATCTTTAATCTACTTGCGATGTTCGCGCGAAGCATTTTTTTCTTTCTTTTATGGCATCGTCAATTTCCTTTAATATCAAACAATGGTTTATGTTTGCTGTTAATGGTTAACGCCAATCCCTTCTGTGGCTGCCTCAATCACTTTGTTTTTCCATGAGTTCCAAATAGAATCTACATTATCAAAAGCATTGATATCCCAATTATTAAATATATTTTGTCTTGATACGATGAGTAGTCATGGAATTGGTTGAATGTCCCAAATTGGTTTCTTTTGTTTACTTGTCGTTAAGTTGTTATTAAGATCATTCAGTGTTAACCATAACACGCAATGGTCACTATCAAAGCTAAATTGTCTATCCTCATCAACAATTAATGTATTTACATAGTTTATTAGTGCTTTAGAGCATAACATATCTATGATGCTTTGTTTATTTCGCTGCCACGTAATCTTGCCCTTACAAAAAGTAGTACAGTTGAGAATAGTTAAGTTTGAATTTTCAGTAAATTCGATAAATCTTTCACCGTTTGAATTTAAAATTAAGTCCCCATCGTATGCTGCTACCAATTCGTGCACTGAAGTCCTTAAGTAGTAAAATCAATGGGTCAACTCCTTCATCTTCAATCCTAATTATTTCAGACAATAACTGAGCATATAAGTCATTGGGTTATTCAATGTTTTCCCTTGAACAGGAAAAGGCCACACACATGTATATCGGTATATTGCATCCTACACTAATTTTGAACCATAATCGTTCAAAGTCATCCTCTACACAATTTAAATAATTAACACAAACAATCTTAACTTCTTTACCACCCTCCTTGCCTTTACGATGTTTCCCAACCCAATTATAACCTTTAATGACATTATCATTATTACCTTTCAAACGTGTTTCTGCAATTTCAAGGATGTATTCAATAGGGCTCTGTTCTTAGAATTACTTTACATTGTAGCACGCATGGGGGATGATGTAGAATTGAAATACAAAAGAAACACTGACAGCGCGAACGCATAGCTGTGTATAAGCCTACAAACAATAGTGTTAATTAGAAGATCTATAAATGCTGATAATTATAACATAGTAATACTGTCCACTGACTATTAAGTAAAGTAAACAAAGTTGGATGAACCTCTCATTCTTTTTCGGCTTATATTCATCTCTGTGTCCCTGCATTGAATTTAATACATCAAATATCAGCAAAAACTTCAATAGGCAAAAGATCTCGTTGAAGTCACTCTGCCCGCTTTTCGACAGAATTCGCATGCAGAGATGATTCATCAGCACCAAATGCAGGTTATCCATTAACAAACCAGTAGGACCCAACATACTTCCACGAGAAACACATGCTGTGACAGGTCGCTCTGAAGAAATTAGACTTCAAAGACTACTGATTTTTATGAATGATGTAATTAGCAGTTGCTTTTTTTAGTATAAAAAGCTGCCACCTTAACTTTGAGCCCTTTGTGCCACACATAGGTCTAGTCAGAAGTCAAAATATTTTCCATCAAATGCAGAATCATCAATCACATCACAAGAATAAATTGTCGGCGAAATGTCTGTCGGCGAATTAGTTGTCTGCAAATTGGCTGTCGGCGAATCGTCTAGTCGGCGAATTCGATTTCGGCGAATTCCGGTGTCGGTGAATTTTCTTTTGGTCTACTGTCTGTAGGTCAAACGTCCGTCAGCAAACTGGCATTCGGCGAAATGTCCAAGTACGACAAAGAATCATCAGTCACATCACAAAAATAAATTGTCGGCAAAATGTCTGTCGGCGAATCGTCCATTCGCCTAATTCGATTTCGGCGAACTCCGGTGTCGGTGAATTTTCTTTCGGTCAACTGTCTGTCGGCCAAACGTCCGTCGACAATCTGGCATTCAGCGAAATATCCTATTACCATCTGACTCTGCGTAGTTTTGTGCATTTTTAGTTCATCTACCTTGAGTAATATTACAATATCACGAGGGTATGATGTATATGTTTTTTAATAGGCATATTGTCATATGATACTAATTTTGTCTTCCAGGTATTGGTTTTGGGATGGTGATTGTTGCAGCTTTCGTCGGAACCTACTATAACGTCGTTGTCGCTTACGCCATGCACTACATGTTCGCGTCGTTCACGAAGAATATGCCATGGGAGAATTGCGACCACGACTTCAACACAAACAATTGCACACTAAAATATGACCAGTGTTTGGCTCAGTCAGGCCAGATCATGTTGACAACAACATGCCAAAATATCTCTGATCTGGGTAAATCAGACGATGAGCTTATTGCCTTGAATATTTTCAGAGAGAATGATTTCTGGAACACATCACTGTATGTTGACTCTTATGCAGAATATCGAAAGAGGCCAACTGAAGAATATTGGAAGTAAGTGCCATGTACTTAAGAACCAAGTAAAAGCAAAGTCCACGTTCTAAGGATGACATATAAGAACAGTAATAATAATAATAATAATAATAATAATAATAATAATAATAATAATAATAATAATAATAATAATAATAATAATATGGATGGATTGATAAATGGAAGGACGAATGGATGGATGAATAGATAGCTAATCTGTGTGTGCAACATTTCATCTAGAAATGATTTGGTGAGTCGAATGGCCGAGCGGTTAGCAGGGGCGCCGCAAGCTATAGCCATAATATCGGCGCTGGTTCGAACGGCACGCTCGCCTATGGTTCTGGTGGTAGAACAAGTTTTTTTGTTAAAACAACGAGAAACAAAGAGTATGCAATGTAACCAACTAACCTATTTTCAAATCCGTTTAACATTTTATATTATTAAACAACACAATTACGAATACGAATAACTGGTGGGGGGGGGGCATTTGTATTTTTTTAAATTTCAATACATATCATTAATATGCACTGATATTTTTTAAAATAGTGTCAAAACGCTGTTTTGACACTTGACACTGTTCTGCTGACTTCCCTTCCAATAGATGTTTGAACATAATTAATTCATTGTGAAGAAGAATATATGTTGTTTCATGGGCTTAATTCAATGTGAAAAGTAATATATATAGTAGTCGGATAACTTACAATAAAACGGCACGTGAATTTATGTTATTATATTATTATTATTATTAATATTATTATTATTATTATTATTATTATTATTATTATTTATTGTATTTATTGTAATAAAATTATTTTTTAATTTTTTTTGTTCCCCGACAAAATATATTTGTCTTCCCCGACGGGGTGGGGGGAGGGAGGGCGGCCGGCTAGGCTCCCCCGACGAGGGGGCTATAGCAAGAATGAGGTGGATTGTGCTGTTGCGGATGCTTTAAAAAAAACATCAGTGGCTTAGGCCTGGGTCAGGATTTTATTTATGCTGTTCCAAGTTGGAAGAAATCATTTCCGGGAGATCTGCGGTGGTGGATGGGGCAGGGAGGGACTTTCACAGATGGAGGGTGTGAACCACATCATCCCCACCATGGTTGGAACTAAGGAAAATATGTTTAAATGGCCAGAAATCGCCTCTCAGACATCAAGTTGAATATAATTTTCAATTCTACCCCAATTTTCATGATTTATAAATATTTAGGAGGCCCGGCCGGCTTTCCTCGTCTCTGTACTGTACTACTGATCTGGTTAAAGATTAACACATTTAATTATATTTTGCTATACACAGTGATCCACCGGTACTGACTTCTTTAGAACATTTATAATAAAGCAGTGAAACATCCATATATTATATATATAATAATATTATATATATATACTATATATATATATCCATAATTTGCGGAGGTCATCTGAGGTCCATACTAATTTCTAACAAATTTATATTAGGCCTCTATGGCTCTCAAAATTAGGCAGTCATGTTTCAGCTCACTTTTTTTTTACTGTGAAGTATGTAATATTGTTTTAGCCTCGACCCAGAATGATGATGTTGGACAGGGAATTATTTACCCACTTTCATTTTTTTATATGAGAAGTGCCTATTATTATGTGAATCAATTATCTACAATCTGACGTTATTATGATTTGATGTGATTTGTTTCATTCATTCATTCATCTTTTATTTCGGAATTTCATGTCCATACAAAGGAACAACAGTTAAACCAATACAAATACATATAATAAAAGACAAAAGTGAAAAACACTGACTGAATCAAGAAAAACAGTTCGAACAAAGTGTAAAAAGAAACAATAATTAGAGAATTTCAGAATAAGCCATAAAACATTTCTGCTTGTTTCAGAAATGATCCATTGAAATAACAAGAAGTAACGTTACAATGACAAAATACAAAAAGGCCTTATCCATTATAGCTCTCAGTATCAAAAATATTTCATGTCACCTTATGTTATTCTGCCAAATGATTTTGTTTAATTCTAAACTCAAAAGTACCAGGATAGTTTCTGGTGGGGTTAGTTTCACCTATTAAAACTTGGATTGTAGATAACAGACTATATATGATTAACACTTTTTATGAAAATTGCTCCCAATCAAGCAATCTAATTTCATGTTCCTAAATGTTTTCTGCTAAATGATTTTGGCCCTGGAAGCTATAGTCTCAGAAATACCGGCATGGTGTCTGAAGGTTAATACTTTCATCCTGCAGTAAGAATATGTAATTATTCTATCTAGATTATGTAATTGCGGCTGTTGGGTGTTGATGGCACTTTAAAAAATATGACAGAAAACTCTCAATCTCAATGCAATACAGTACAGTACAAACATGATGATTTTCCATTATTTCATGAAAAAACTAATAAACATGAATAAAAATGTTTTTGTTATCAGTGTATGAGTCCAGCTACAAACAAGAATCTACAAATTATCAATATTAGAACTGAGAAATCTAGCTAAATTTGTACAAAGAACCACAAAAATGAAATTTTCCGCGATAGAGGGCAGCAGAAAATGACATGTTTAATGGAAAATATCTCCGTTACTACTCATTTTTTATATAAGTGTAATGGAAAAAATATTCAGTGCATTATTTCCTTTCCAATGATACCACATAATGATATGTTTGACTAGATGTGTCCGTCATTTTGTTTTCCAAGATGGCGGCCAGTTAACCTTCTCGAAAAAATTGACACCAACATTTTTCTTGTTCAGTATAAAATTCTGAGTCGGAAAAGCATTGTTGCCATAAATTAACATGAATTGCGAACAAAAATACATAAGCCCCTGCACTAATTGTAGCATAAAATAATAAAGACCTGCACGAGCGATCGGGTGGTTTGTATTGCCAGACATTCTATACTCCTAATGACTAAAATGAAAATAAATGTGCATATATATGACCGGTGTAGAAGAAACTTGTATTACTTAAGTTGAAATTTGTTAAAACTTACGGTAAGAGAAATTCTTTTGAAGAGAAGAAACTACAACAATGCCGGTATAAAAGGACATACATTTGTATTTTGAATATAGAACGCAAGTTTGATTACAAGCTAACGAACTTTTCCTACTAGCTGGCCCTAGCATCAGTGCCGTACCTAAATAGGAGTTTTGAAATGGAAGGGGAGTTGTGGGGAGAAATGTAAAGTGAGGGGCTCGATTATTAGGTGATGGGGAGCTAATTTGCAAATTAAGGTGATTTGAGGTATTTTTATCTACTTGAGCATGATTTTTTTTTGGGGGGGGGTGCGGTGATTGTTGAGGGGACGAGTATTTTTTCATTTCATTTCATTTCTTTAGGCACGAACCTTAAGGATATGCCAATAAGTGAACTTAATCACTGTCCTATGTGGCATAGGGATTCTTCTTGCAACATTTTCGTTTAAGAGCGACATTAGCATAAGTTTTTGGGACTTTTTTCGTCTTTCCACAGTCGTATCTCAGCAAATACGTGTCGGATTTTTGTGTTCCCTTCGGTATTTGAAAGGCAATTCTTTTCTGATTGCTTTAATATTTGTTTCAATTGTATTGCTTGAAAATAGTCACCGTCATTTTTTCACTTTTCGATTGGTGCTATGCTGACCGCCCACCGCGTAGAGGCTGCATTTTTAACCTTTAGGCGACTTTGTTGGCTTTATTAAATTGCCATTTCGGCTGTTTACCAATAAAATATCTTGTTGTTTCCCACATCCGTGGACCAGCGCTTTTAGAATAAGCTACTTTAGAATAAGCTTTTTTCATGTACATGCGTAATTCTTTTACAATACTAATTAATAATTATACAGATAATTCCGATTCTTGACAACACGCAGCATATTTTGTCGGCGCACAAAGAGATATCAATCAGAAAAGCGACTACGATTAGGCTTAGCCACGCACCGATGCGCGATGTGTTTACCCAATTTTCAGCAACATTAACAATGCGGAACATGTCATGTATACTATTATCAAAGGTCATACACTACTAAATGTCGATAATGGTGAAACAAGTTTTGTTTATCATTTATTTATCAATAGCAATAGTTGACAGGTCCCGACTAATTTTGTGCCTCCCAATTTAAAAAGAAAAATATTATAATAAGGCCTACTCAATATAAAATTTGTTATTTTCTGCCAAAAAGATTGAAAATGCATCCTTAATTGTAAACATGCTAGCCAAATTTTTCAGCGTAAAACATGACGTACAGGAGGTATTTATTTTCGCAAGATATCATACCTGTTACTCACCATCCGTCTAGGCCTGTCACGTGGTCGGTTTACAATAAATTCGCGCTGGTCTAGGCTATAAATACCAGACATATTCAAATACACTGGGCGCAAGCCATCTTGAATAGTTAAAACAAAAGCCTAGGCATAGACACTATCACTAATGAATTGATAAAGAATGGAGGTCAAGTAATTATCACTTCATTATATAATATGAAAGGCTCGCTTTTCTAGAATGTATTCCAGATGATTGGAACAATGGCACAATTATCCCCATATTTAAAAAAGGCGACCGACATAACTTAGACAACTATAGGGGTATAACTTTGAACTCCTGTGTTGCAAAAGTTTATAGCAGAATAATTTCCCAAACTTTATAAGAATTCATTGAAAATAATGATATATTAACTGAGGTACAAGGGGGATTTCGTAGAGATAGGCGATGTGAAGACCATAACTTCACTCTAAAGAGTATAATCGCCACTCGCCAAGCTGAGGGCAAGAAGACCTTTCTAGATTTCAGAAAGGCATTTTTGACACGGTTTAGAGGGAGGGTCTCGTGAAAGCACTGGACGCGATCGGGATAAAAGGAAATTTATTTAATATAATACGAAACTTATATGAAAATATCAATTGTAAAGTAAAGTTTGGTGATACTGAAACTGAGTTCTTTAACATTGAAGAGGGTGTGAAACAGGGATGTTCTCTTTCTCCAACTTTATTTTCAATTTATAATAATGAATTATGTAAAATGTTAAAAAATAGGAATTTAGGTGTGAACATATTTATCAATACATTTAACTGTCTTTTTTTGGGCAGACAATGTTGTCCTTATTGGTGAAAATGAGAAGGACCTCAATACGCTTTTACAAATCACTACCAAGTTCTCAAAACAATGGAAAATGTTTTTTAACTACAGTAAATCTAATATTCTTATTACCGGATAAAGAGTCAATACTAAAAAATGGAAGTTAGGTAACAGTTACATATCTGAAACTGAAAAATACAAATATGTAGGCGTGATAATCTCACGTACGATGTCTGTCAATTCTCACATCGATGAAGTTGTTAAAAGGGCAATGCAATCGCATAATTGCATACATTAAATCAATCATAAATGAACAAGATGATTTCAATAGGATATACTACGGGGATCTACTATGGAAGTCTATTGGAATCCCCACAATTAACTACGCTTGTTCGATTTGGTCTTGCAATGGTAAAACAGCAAGGGCAAAAGTTGAACATTTGCATTATTTAATGGCAAGAAGCATCCTAAAAGCACCACGAAACATTGCTAAAGAAGCGCTCTACGGTGATCTAGGATGGCAGTCAATTGAATCTTTACATAATTACTCGCGTGTTAAATATCTATATCGCTTACAGATAATGGATGATAGTAGATGGCCAAAAATATTATTTAATGCAATAAAATTGGTTGACAAACGATTGAAATGGGGAAGGTTAAATCAAGTCCGAGAAACTTTTAAGAAATGTAAAATGGAAGACATACTGTATAATGAACCAAGTTCTAACTGGACACTAAAGTTAAAAGATGAAAATATAAAAAACGACAATAAAGAAGGGCAAAAAAGAGCACAATCAAAATCCTCATTACTACATTGTAATATGTATAAAGAAAAACCATTGCTTGAACCATATCTTCTTGACCAAACTGACTTTAAGCGAAATACTCTAAAATTTCAAGCTCGCTCGAATGCGCTAAACCTCGGAGGTAGAAAAGACGTTTGGTCGCCTACAAATTCGGGGATATGTAAACTACGTAATAACAACACTAAAAAACTATAGTACACTTTATACTAGAATGTAATAGATTCAATAAATTAAGAGAGGAATCTTTTAAAAGCCTTAAAACTGACCTATTTCTTAACGATTTTCATTCTTTTTGGAAATCATTCGATGAAGGTAGCTCGGAAATGAGAATACACCTATTACAGTACTAGATAATCTATACAATGAAAACCCGACTTTATAGAAATTATTTGACACCTGCTGCAAAACATATTACAGAAAGCTTGGGAAGCCCGAACCGACTTTTACAAGAAAACCCCCCTAAATTTGAACTGAAGAATAACTATTAAATGTAAAAATGTAAATACTGTAGAAAATTTGCTTACTACGGTACAATGGTTGTATGTTATTAAAATACCGTATATTTTAAAGAAAATTTAGATAAGTATTAGTTAACTTTTGTCCTAGTTTTATGTTATTTCTTTGATTTGAAAAAAAGCTTCTCCTTTACTTTGTTAAATTCTATGTTAGATTCTTTGATTTTGATTTGTATTTTGTGCCTTTCATTCTTTTTGTGATTTTGGTTAAGTTCTTTTTTACTGTTGCGAACGTTCTGTAATTTTATTATTTAAGTAAAATATTTGGGGTGGGGGCTGTTTTTGATTCATTTTTTTTTCTTTTTTGCTGTAAAGAATCGAGCAACCTATAAAATGTATACCATACTCAAACTGTATCATTACTACTCTGTCCCATAATATCACTGCTTTTATTATTATTAGACACTGTAAACTTTTTTATTATTCAACGTTAAGCTTATTGTTTAGTTTAATTTAATATTTATATATGTTTTTTTGTATACTTTTACACCTTAATTATTTGGTTGGTTTATTTTAATCCTCTTCTCTTTAATTTTAAGATTGTTTTACATTTTGTTCATTTTATGTATATCTTATGGACGCACCACCTTGCTAGGTGTGTGCCACTGATCTGAAAGTGAGTGCCAATAAATACTGAAATACTGACATAAAATGTCTGGACTTCAAGACAAGTAATTACTTTCGAGTACGAATAACAGCAGCCAATTAGAAGGCCGACTTCAATTCAAAGAAAGTCTAGCCTACTTTGTGTGCGTATATGGGGCATATAGAACAGTATAAAGTAAATAACAGCAGCACTTTTGAGACTAACAATATATAATTTATTCTCTAGCTTTCGTCCTCACAGTGGACTTCATCAGGAGACTGATGAAGTCCACCTGATGAAGTCCACTGTGTGGACGAAAGCTAGAGAATAAATTATATATTGTTAGTCTCAAAAGTGCTGCTGTTATTTACTTTATACTGTTCTATACTGTACAGACTAACGTGGCTATACTTTTTATTCATCATGGGGAATACAGTCAACAGAGAAAGGGTAGTTAAATTGGGATTTTAAGTTGTCAACGTAATTAAAACACCATTCACTTCAAAGTAATTGAAATAATAATGCATAAAAATCCAAATCCTTTAAAACTGGAGTTACAAATGTTGGGTTTTAGGACCGATAAATGATTAATTTTTCATCTCATCTCTCTCACAGCAGATTCACTATAAAGGAGGTTTATCCCCTCGTCCCATGCATAGAGTTATTATAAGCCTACAGTGCTTGTCTTTCGTTAAAATATAAGTAATTTTGTTTATTTTCAATAAATGAAGAGGATGTAACAGGCTGTAAAATATCCCCCGCGAAAACCATCGCCGCATTTCAAAAAAATGTGGTGTGGTATTATGTACGGTATTGATTACACATAGGACTTGACAACTGCATCAGCGATTGTCAACAAAAGAGTTACAGCCATGGTTACAGCATACACGCAAAGATCGTACGCGGCGGATACCCTACGCGGTTTTATTTACACGATATTTTGTTACTTTTTTCGCCGGTGACGTCACGATGAAATTGTATATGGCTTAAAACTTCATAAAAAAAATTGCAAAAAAAAAAAAAAAAACGATTTTAAGGTTGATTCTATTATTAATGGCATATCAAAAATCCCCTCTAGAACAAAAAAATCATTTTGCTAGTTCTCTTTTAAGACTCAATCGATGCATAAAAACCAAAGGTAGGCTTATTAATTACCCCTCATAAAACGATAACAAAGGCTTCTGAAGGTCGCTTGGCTGCAGTGAATATGAGCGATTAAATTTGATGGTTTCGTTGCATGAATGTGGCCTAAGAATTAATATTCCCCTGATTTTCTCGAAGATACGCCACGGCCTAGCATATCCTTCATTTACCCTACGGTCCGCCACTTACCGCAAAGATTCCTAAATTAAAACAGAATGTCTTGTTGATTATTCTATTATTTCCATCTCTAGACGTGGTGTATTGCAGGAATCTCCATCAATGAACGACACAGGAGGAATCGTTTGGCAACTTGCTTTGTGCCTTCTTCTGGCCTGGGTTATTGTCTTCTTTTGTGTTGTGAAAGGCATCAAATCTTCTGGAAAGGTACAAGAATTGTACTTATGCTGGGATACTGTTAAAAGAATGTACTTATAGAATATTAATGTGTTTCGTTATTTTATGTTTTGATAATTTGTGTTCTAAAAGGTGTCAGAATCAGAATTTTAAGAAATAGTACAAACATTTTAAAACCTAGAAAAGCCAAGCACATGACGTTATAATAGGCCTACATGTAATTGTTTAATTTACCTGGGGAGGTCGCAGCTACGTGAATATTGTACATACTTAAAGAGAAAAAAATGTATTTATATTGAATGATAAACAAGATACCCTCTTTTAAAACAATGCTTCTGTTAATAATGTATATATGTGACTACAGTAGTAATCTTTCAATCTTTTATAAGCATAATTCATTTTTTATAGGCTGTGTATTTCACTGCTACGTTTCCGTTTGCTGTAATTTTAGCGCTACTAATTCGTAGTGTGACGCTAGAAGGCGCTAAGGAGGGCATCAACTTTTTCATCTACCCTGAATGGAAGGATATTACTATACCTCAGGTTAGTTAAGCATCGAAATATATAGAATAAATAAAAATTAATTTGTGGCCCAACACCTGATACACGAGTCACACTAATAATTGTAGGGCATACTAACGAGTTGAATGACTTATTCAAACTATATTTTTGTACCAGGAAATATTATTTAGTAAGTAGTACTAATCTAGAGATGTGATTGGAGATTTTATTTAGTCGTTTAGATGCGCCATTAAGGTAATAAGGTCGTATATGACTAGAGAAATTATAATTTATACAGAATCAACCTATCATCTGCCATGTGATTGATGTAGGTGTAGAGAAGCGTAGTTTCATTTTTAGTCTCGTTCTGACGTTTACCCGAATTCTATAACATTATGCTTGCAGATAAAAAAAAATCCATTATTCTATTAATCTTTTCAGGTGTGGTATAGTGCCGCTACGCAGATCCTCTTCTCTCTTAGCATTGGAACGGGTATATTACCTACACTGTCTTCGCATAATCGTTTCCACAATAATATTTACTTGTAAGTAACTTTGAAGTACAATACTTAATGGTAACGGACAGTACAGCTTGCAAGGCACATTACAATAAGGATAAAAATTACAGATAGTATTTTAACAACATTTTTAATGTTCCATTTTTAGTGACACCGTCTTCATACCACTTTCAACCTTTGCAGCAAGCATAATTTCTGGAATCACCCTCTTTTCCATATTGGGTCATCTTGCCTTTCTAGAGAATAAACCAGTTTCAGAGGTAGTTGACTCTGGTGAGTTGCTAATACTTTCAATTTAACGGTAGGCCCACGTGTTCATGTTATAATTGCAATACGCTGGAGCTCATAGTAGCCTATGTTTTAGGTTTCTGTATGTCATTATTTTTTTATGGTGGAATTTTGTGTCAATATTGAGTCTATTGCGAAGCTAAATTATTATTTTTTTTGAAGATGGGGTCTATGGTCTTTGTGTCTTCCGAGAGAAGGCTTATTAATATGGTTTTTAGCAAAATTTGAAGTCATTTATGTTTATGCCAGGGGTTTTGTCAGACAATTCTGCTGAAAGTTCAGTATATAGAAGGTAATGCTTGGGAAATTTAACGTATTAGGAGATTTTGCGAAAATTTGTGGTCTGCAGGTAGGCTGTTTACTTGGCTTTACATACATAAACAAAATGAGTAATTGCATACGATTTTTTTTCCATGAATCAATAAATTCCAAAAAAGAAAGGGGGGTCGGGGGGTTCTCCCCCGGGAAAATTTTGATTCTTAGAAGGCGGGAAATAAGCTTTCCCGACTTCTGAGATGTCTTTTAATTACTTTTTATTTCTCAAAATTCAATTTTTTCCCCTCTTGAAAATGATTTAATGAATCAATGAATTCCGAAGAAAAAGGGTGTCCGGGTTACCCCGGAAATATTTCGATTTCTAGAATGCGGGAAATGAGCTTTCCTGACTTCTGAAATGTCTTTTAAATGACTTTTTAAGTTCTTCAAAATTTAAGGTTTTTCCCTTAAAAACGGTCAGGTAAATTTTTCTCATGTCTTATTTTATGCGTGTATACATACATAAATAAATGAGTAGTTGCACGCCTATTCTTTTTTTCATGAATCGATAAATCCCAAAAACAGAAAGGGTGGTCCGGGGATTATCCCTTGGGAAAATTTTGATTCCTAGATGGCAGGAAATAAGCTTTCCCGACACTGGAAGTGTGTTTTAATGACGTTCTTCAAAATTCTAATTTTCTTATTGTAACATAAAAAAAAAATTTTTTTTTAAAATCAGCTCACGGGTCTTGAAAAGTTAGGTCTAGAATTAGTTTTTTCTTTTTTTGTTGGCCAAGGGAGGGGTCAGGACGCATTACCCCCTCCCCCAGATTCGCCAATGTGAATCGCGAGAAAATTTAACTCGGTTGAGGACTGGATAAACATTCTCTTTCCCATCCTTCGCCTCCTTCCCTCTTTCATTTCTTGCATTTCTTTCCAATCATACACTGCATTTCTTTCCAATCTAAACACTGTGGGTGAAAGTTTTTTTTCCAAAAAGAATTGGGGGAGGGGCATACGCCCCTTACATCTAATCCCCATTCTAATATTTAACAAAGGGCCCAGAAATCAATTAAGCCAATCAGCTGTTGAATGTATAGGTCTCAAGTCACTCACCCCCAATGGCAATAAATCGTGTTTTATTTAGGCTAGCTAGGCTAGGCGTAGCCTAGCTTAGATGAGACCCTAGCGCCCCGCCTAAGGCCTAGGCTAGCCTACCTACAGCATTGAAGATCACCAGTGTTTAATTATTGAATATAAAAGTTCTATTGAATTAAAGTATATTGAATTAAAATGTTCTACCAGATTGAACGATCAAACTATCATCTGTTGAGAGAGATAACGTTACATGCCATCCTGTAATGTTAGTGAATGTCTAGAAGATCATCTTAATAATTCAACACTCACTCATGTGGAGAGCTGAAAACTAGCTACAGTGTACTTTTGGGCTGTGATACCTTCTGTGCAGGGATCGTCTCAAAAATTCCGGTTTTTTTTTTAACTTAAAGAAAATGGTTTTTCTTGCTAATTTTTCACTAGACAACCGGGCAACATGAGTATAAATAGGCTAGCCTGGAGCGGTTTTTTTTTTGTGATATAAGGGGGTGGGGTGCGCGTCGCAGGCGCCCCCTAAATCCGCAACTGTTTTGCAAAAAAAAAAAAAGGAAAAAAGAGAGAGAGAGAGAGAGAGAGAGAGAGAGAGAGAGAGAGAGAGGAACGTGAACAGTCGGCGATTAGAGAGGAATGTATATGGTTAGCCATCAGGGCCATAATGAAAGCGCCGTAATCCCAATGAAAGCGCCGTTATCTTCATTAAAAGCGCCGTAATGCCATTCATTTTCAACCAATCACAGGTTTAGGATGACGCCAACAGGGTCATAATGAAAGCGCCGTTAACTTGTTACAAAAAAAAATCTAATAAAAGCGCCGTAATCATAATGAAAGCGCCGTAATCATAATAAATACGACGTAATCATAATTAAAGCGCCGTCATGCTATTCACTTTTAACCAATCACAGGCTTAGAATTATGCCAACAGGGTCATAATGATTACGGCGTTAACTTGTTCGATAAAAGCGCCGCTTTGAGTAACTGGCGCAAGGGCCACACTCATTGGCCAATCACATTCCTTCTTTCATGTTTGCTGAATTGAACGAAAATGTGATGGATTGGTTTGACAGGGCGCGCCGCCAGTATCGTATCGCTTTTGGAGCTAGCCATTCAATACATGAACCGTGAGCAACGGATGTGCACAATTTAAAATTCCTTCGCTACGCCTAAATGCATCCATTAGTCGTCTTGTCACTGAAGCAGTTAATGATGAGGATGATGGGGATTTCAGCCTGCGCGATGAGTAACTAAATCCTTAGAATAGTCCTCTATCTAGCCCAGGCCGGCTAGGGCCTAGGATGGGCTCTCCTAGCCAACCTAGGGCCTAGGCCTAGAGTTACGTCAATCTCGGGCGCCTACAACAGTTTAGGCTATAATTATATATTCAACTCAGTTCTTAATAAATAATAATAATTTTTAAAAGTTGTACATAAACCAAAGGGCTCTTCAAATCAAGGTAGTATTAAGCAGGGGTTTGAATGTTTTAATTTGAATACATTTTACATGGATTCAAATATTAGTGTGGCCCCTAGTTTCATTTCGCGAGATAGGCTTGCCCAAAGCAATTTTATTGCATTTTCTGGATATTTTGGGTATGCTGAATCCAAAAATGCAAGGGTCCATTTTTTTCGAGATTGTCTTGGCGGCCATTTAGGAATTTCAAAATGGCCGCCATTTTCACATAAAAAATAAAAATAACTGTGCCATTAGAGCAAATATCAACATCATTTTGGCAGCAAACCCTATATTTTCAATGTCAACCTCTCCAATGGTGATATTCTCACTGATCATAAATGGCGGCCATCTTGAATTTCAAAATGGCTGCCGTATTTACATTAAAAATAACAATAGTTGTGCTATTTAGAGCAGGTATCAACTGATTTTGGCAGCAAACCCTATATTTTCAATGTTAACCTGTCCAATGGTGAGATTCTTACGAATCATACATGGCAGCCATAAACACGTTATATCGTCATTGCGGACTTATAAAATCCGCATACGCCTTAAAACTAAAAGAAAATGCATACGTTTAGAGTCCGCGTACTGAGCCCAAAAAATCCGCAATGAAAATATAACGTGTTCATATTGAATTTCAAAATAATTGGACATGAAGTTACGGTTGCTAAAATACCAGTCCAGTAATTATAGAAAACGCACTTTTAGACAGGTATTGAATCCAGATTTTGTATCTTGTACTGAAAAGGGGCTAGAAAATGAGAAATTAATCCATATAGACATAGCCTGTAGGCACATTTTGTCTTGTGTAGACACAAGACAAAATGTGGTTCAATTAAACACACAAGTTATTTAAAATCAATACCATACTTTTATTATTGGAATACATATCATAAGAATCATGATATTTGCCCTTATAATACATTAATACCCCCATGACCAAATTCCCCCGTTTTTTACTATCAAAATGTTAGCATGTATGAAAACTGCATTATTTTAAAAAAAAGTAAATATGTCGATTGAAAAAGATTTTATTATGAACTTAATAACACATTAACCAGTCCAATGGTGATATTCACATGAAGAACGGATGCCAACTGTCTTTACTCAAAATGACTGACATTTTTTCAGATGCATGTCAAGTGTTTTTACAAGTGTTTTTACAATATCAGCCACTCCGGTATTAATCTAGAAATTACATAAGAGTTCCTTAATCAGCAGATCAACATATCTTGTTAGAACAATAAAACTTGTGTTATGCTATTCTTCTCTGCCATCTACACATTTGAAACTTGAAATTATTTCATTAGGTATTATTGTTTAAGAGTTTGCATGG